TTCAAGGGTGTTCACGTTGACTGGGATTTCAGGCAGAAGAAAATTTGCAAGGTCGAGATGAAGCTTTGGACCCGCGCAGCAGCATATTTGAGGATCAGGATGGAAAGGAACCTTTCCGCAAATCCGCAAAAAATGCAGTCAGTGAATGGCTTATAGTAGTATGATACGATGGTATCGAGCGGTCTCATTCTCCATATGTATTTTATCGGTTCCTTTGTGTCTCCCGTTCCGGCTTCTGTAACTAGAGCTTTTGAGACATTGTTTAAATATCATAGCTTCAACCTCCTGAGGGCTAAGTCCTAATGGGAGTAGTTGGACGTCCCTCTCTCAAGGACGACATGTATCATATGTTGTAGTATTAATACCACAGAGTGGTAACCATAGGTTCTGCTTGCGTATAACCGAGCAAATAAAATAAGGATAGAATGAAGGGGGAGAACATAGTTATGGCAACCTATAGATAATAGCAAGGAGATAGAAAATCATAGAAGTAGCGGAGCAGGAATTCATAGTGGAAGGAAAGTGCTTAAAATGGATGGCGTAAAAGGGCGATTTAATCGGTCATTCACATTGACACCGGTTTATCAACGATAAAAAGGTGATGGAAGAAGGGGACTCTCCTCTCAATTCACTATTCGGTCCCAAAACCATTTAATAAAAACATTGTCGATTAGAGGTGATATGAAGGTTAATATTTACTCCCCTGTACAGCTTTTGGTTACCTGTCTATCATTGTCAATGTTATGGTTATGAGGAAGTTGTGGGAAGGAGTTGGAAGTATTACGAGTAAGATACTTGTAGGGTCGGAGATGAGAAATAGTAAAATGTTTCGGAATGAAACATTGATAAAGTATTTCCAGGGCCCATTAAAACAGATTAGATTTCATTGCGTAGGTTATGTTTATTCGTCTTTCAACGTAAGAGAAGCACCGATTTTCCCAACCATCCCTCATTTTACTAATAGGAGGAAAAGTACCAGAAGAACCATATATACACTCAGGGATCCGTTGCCTAGTTCGGTTCGAGCAGCAGTTGCCTTCTTTGCTGTACTGATTACGGGGTGCTTCCAGCAGATGTTGGAGTGGGGAATTTGATTTCGGGAAATAGATCTTTCGTATTTTCGTCAATGAGAATGTAATCCAGGATAAGACCAGACCCGTTTACGACGACAGCCACCTGATCGTCTGTACAAGTGCCAGGGACAAGGATATAACATGTGGGTTTGGGCATTGGGGGCGGCTCATTTTTTATCTGGAAAGTTGTGCGTTGACCTTTGGAAGAATAAGCTTTATCGATCATAGTGTTCACCTTTCCAGTTGCAATATCCATGTCGAACATGACGCGTCGGAAAATTTCAAAGGCTGTCTCAGGCTGGTATGCGGGAACCATGTGTCCGGCTTGGTATACCCTGCTGAAGGAAAAGCCTCCGTATTGACGGACTTGCCCACCGACGTAAGAAGAGTTCGTTCTAATATCACTATAACCAGCTGCCCGAAACCGAGAAGAATTGCTGTATTTAATGGAAAGACTAGTGTTCTCCCCTCCCACCCAGTTGCAAGAGTAGTCTCTGTCTCCATAAATCATTGCCACCTTCACCCCTGATTCTAACAGATACCCGATGTCGTTTGTATATCCGTGAGCGCCAGGGCTGACATAATCTCCAGTTATATTGAACGCGCGGTAGACGGCCAGAGAGCCACTTGTAAAGTTGAGAGGCACACCAAGATCAGCTTGCACATGTGGCCTGTTGAGATAGCCTTGGAAAAAAGGAGGCGGGAAGGGATCAGCCCGAGGATGCGCGATATCATAGTAGCCCCTGCCACTTGTGCTTGAATACGGTTCCTCAACTCCAACGCAAGCTTGGGATGCATTGCGGCAAGCTTCGTTCACCGTGGCGTTGCTGCCATCATGAGTTAGATCTCCCTCATATGTTAACCTGCGGCAGTGTTGTAATTGCTCCGCACATCCACCTGATTTGTGGTAAGTTTCTATCATAGCCTCGTAAGTAGAATTATTGACAGCTTCGATGCCATATGTGTTGTTGCGCGTGAATTCGGGATACGTCAAAATCTGCGAAAAAATGTCGATACAGCCACTGATTATGCCAAGCGTGTCGATATGAATGATCATATTGCCATCCTCGTGGCCGATGGTACCTTCTTCGATCTTCCGGTTTTGTTCCAGTAAAAATCGAGCAAAGCTTGGACCGTACTTCCCCCCATACGACTCTGCCCAAATACTGATCTTGCTATTTGTCGGTTTATATTGGGGAAAGCCTTGAAACCAAGCTTGGGAAAAGTGCCAGAAAGCGCGAGCAGCATTCAAAGTGTTGTTGGCGGTGTTCTGAGGAATTTGGCTGGGATATGACCCAACCCAGAATGTATTGTTTTGAACTGGCACACCATTTGAAAAATCTTTGACCATGATGTTTCCCGAAACAAGTTCAACAGTTACATTCACAAGCTTGTCGTAACTGAAACCCGTCTGAACAGGCTGGTCGACGTATAGCATGTAAACGTTTCGATCCCAGAACCATGGGTGAAGAGTTGTTGAATTTGGAAATCATGGTTAACGGTGCAGGGCCCATTCTCCTGAAACAAACCAAACCTAGATCAGGGAGTTAGGACATTTCTTATCGCAACTTGATAACACCGGGGGGGGGGGGGGGAATGGTATGTTGGATTTTACATGCTAGATGATCCAGGGCCACCATTGAGAAATATGGCTATTGGAGCGTTTATAGGATCTTCACGGGCCTCGAAAAACCAGAAGAAAGTATTGATTGAATAGTTCTGGTAAACTCCTACGTCTTCGAGCGTCCCAGCGGGTAGATGAACATATCCAGCGTATGCTCTGATACCTGGGGTGACTTCACAGATAGTCGTCTAACGGACACATCAGTCACAACAAAACCTGAAATGTGAAATGTTTGGCCTCACCGGCTGCAAAGGAAAGACGTAGAGGTACCTGTTTATATGATATTGACAACCCATTTTTTAGCGAGACTGTGCGGAGATCCTCAGGTGTAGGGGGAAAGTATTGGCTTAAAGCAGGCTGAACGAGCCCAACCACTGCTACAGAGATCGCAAGAGGAAACCACATTTCAAATTCTCACAGCAGAAACAGAGTAGGCAGTTCTTATTCGAATGGCCACCAGTCATCAATTCGGGTTATCTTCAACTCATAGGCAGGACCAAAACCTGATCGACGTGGAGAAGATCCTCAGAAGAAAGAACACTAGAGGAAAGTCTTTGTCCCTTATAAAGGTCGCACCCACGGGCAGCTGCTTCAAATTTCTCGTTAGTGGTGGCTGCCCACATCACATTCTCCAGCAATCCTATAGCCAGTTTCGGCGGGGATCCTGAATAAAACCCTCTCAGCAGATCAGCAGTCTGCTTGATCCTTTGTTGCACATCTTGTGTGCTGAGTATGGCTTCTAACCTACGCCACACCCAATCGTTTGGGTCACTTTTCGTGAAATTCATCTCATATTGAGCGACTGGAGCTCCCGAAAATATCGTGTGTGCTGCTTCGGAGTTTGCCGTTCGGCACTTGACAACGGAGTGAGTTTCGGGCCCATCCTTGCAAAGTAAAAGGCGGTGATGCAGATGAACAGCTTTGAGAGGGAACCCTCGTCCTGATCTCGCGAATTTCGGCTGACCAGCAAACCCCAACTCCCAACTCCAGGATACAGTTGGACTGACAAAAGATACACTAATAAGGGCTAGCTACTCCTTATTTTTACTTTTCAACGGCTTCGTCGTTCAAATTTTTGCCAAGGAATTGTGAACCACCGTCCATGTTCAACATCCACACCCAACATTACTAATACACCACGCCACCGCTCATCGCCTCAAGGAGTATAGAATTAGAGGTAGGTTAGGGGTTGCGGAGGTTAGACTAAAGCTGCGCATGGCCGGGGGTTTGAACCCACGCCGACGTTCAACCTTGGAAGTGTATACCCCGGTCATGTGTTGGCAGATGAGCCGACGTGAAATCTCCGCCAACGTCCCAAGTCACACAAACAGCGTTCATTGCAGATTGCTTCTGCAGCGTGATTCGTTATGGGAAACTCGATACGATAAATTGAGGAGCAGGATGTCTGATAAATTCCGTGAAAGGAGATGAGACAAAGTGTTAAGAATCCAACACCGTCCCTCACAATGCCTGAGGGGAAAAAGGAAAGAAAGAAAATGAAATGAAAAGCAAAGACAGCTGTCACTGGCATGAACAAAATGCTGGTATCTGAAGCAGTGCATTTGACTGCATTTGACCAGCCAATAACTGCCTACAGTGCCCCGCCTTGTGGCTGAGCATCACGAAGACTCCAGCAGGCGGGGTGAAAAGTTGAGATAATATTTCTGCCGCAACAATGAGGTCAATCATTTGACTGAAGATCTGATGGAGTTCTTGGACCCCACCCTTACGACATTAATATTTACTGGACGGAAACTAGTTTGATTGTTTTCCAAGAGAAGGAAAGAGGAGTTGGATGTGTTAAAAGCTCTGTACTGAAATGGCTGCAACAGGGGGAACAGCGAGGGATTCAATGGACAAGGCCTCCATTCCTTCTGATATCTCACTGCTATGGCAGCGAGCGTTGGACAAATATCAAGAAAACACGGGTAAAAATCTCGAGGATATGCCCCATTTTACAAATGTCGAAGATATCCTCGATGATGCCCAGCTGCAGCAAACCGCTTTTGATAAATTCCGACACGATGGCGAATTGCTCGACAGGATTCGATCCTCTGTTGCAGGAAATATTAATTTTTTGGAATCACTCAAATTCCTCGTAGATGGTGCTGCTTTGGTGGGCCCCTATTTTCATTCTTTTTAAACTGGAATGTTAGTATGAAGCAAAAGAGTTTCTGCTAAAATTACCCTCCTTATCTGCAGGCCTACCCTCCCACTGTGCTATATCTTCTGCGTTTTTCTACTTCCTTCAGGTACGCACGGCCTCCATGCGGCTTCGAGCCGATTTGCATGTGGTTTATAAAAGTATCATTTTGTGAAGAGTGTATGAACCTCATCTGTCGATTTAAATAGACAACCAAACACATTTCTTCAGATTATGATCAGATAGTCGATTTCTTCGATTCGATGAAGACTTTTCTAGAACGTTTATCAATCATTGAGGGCAAATTGCCTTCGATTCTCGCATACGTGTCTCATGTTATGCGCGTCTTCTCGGCTATGTTGACCATAGATGGTATTGCAACCACGTACATTAAGAAAGGACGATGGAGTAAGCACGCTTTCTAGCCTGTCCTTCAGCATTTATAATGCTTATATTCTATAGAAAAGTGGGCCAAAGCCTTCATCGATGGCGGAACAGATTAGAATCTGAAATTAGCCTAGACTGCGATGGAAAAGTCACTCATAGATCTTGAATCTGCCTCACTCACTGTCATCCTTGTTACGAGCCTAGACGTAAAGCAGGACACAACGGAAATTGCTATGCAAACCGAAAAAATTGGCATTAGCAGCCAGAGAATCGAGTCTAGAACTGAAAGGATGGAAGTATCCATCCTCGCCCAACGAGATGAGTTCCACGAAATGTCAGCGAACTTCAAAAAATTGCTGAAAAATCAGCAGAAGGAAGCAAGAAAGATGCAGTTACACGATTCGGGGAAAGCCGCAGATGCAACAACACGCAAGCATGCAGCCTTCAATTCCGTGAAACTTTACTTCGAGAACAACATTGACCCCTCCTGGCAGGCTCGAGATATTGAATACTCTTTTGTAAAGGGATCAGCTAAATGGGTTTTAGATGAAGACGCTTACCAGATATGGCGTGAAGGGGCCACTAATCCATATCTATGGATCTCCGGTGACCCTGGCCTTGGGAAAACCTGCGTCGCCTTTTTACTGTCTAAAGAATTAACAGAATCCGCTGCCTCGGATCCGAAAACTTCAGTTGCAGCATTCTACTTTCAAGATGACCAAGCCGAATTTATGTCCCTGTCGAATGCGATGTCCAGCATTATTATCCAAATTGCAGGGGGGAATGGGTCCTATTGCGAGCAGGCATCGTCAGAAATAGGAAACGACGGAGTTGATGCTGATGACTGGACCGACTTATGGGAGCGGTTTTTCCAATCCAAGTTCGGAAACGAATCTTCTCATCGGCTCTTTTTAATCATCGATGGACTAGATCAAATTCCCACAAATGACAGATCGAAATTTCTTGAATTGTTAGCTCGAATACGGAAAGAGAGTCTCAAGATACATGTGCTCCTCACAAGCCGTGTTGACATACGGTCGTCTCCTAAATCTCTCCAACCGCTCGAAATTATTGTTACCAAATAGAGACTGCGGGCAGAGATGACACTCTTGATAACAGACAGATTGGGACGCTTCCAGAATCTACACAAATTTCGCAGGCAGACGAAAAGGAAAACCCTCTCCAAAATCCTGGAAAAAGCTGATTGTAAGCCTTCCTATTTTCTTTTGCTCGATACCTACTTAGTAATTTCTATGAAAAGATGGCTAACTCTACGTTAGCAATGCTATATGTCGACCATATGCTGAGACGATTCAATTCCATCGGTAGGGAAGGAGCAGTACTGAAGGATCTTGAAACGAGCCTTCCAGATAATCTCCAATCCGCTTATGATATTTTGTTAACTGAAGTTCAACAGCGAAGAACTTCCGAACACCTGCTAATATTCAAGCAACTATTACTGTGGCTGGCGTTCGCAAAACGTCTCTTAACTGTCGGAGAAGTGGAGGGATTGGTCACACTCTTAGACCGGGACCGGTCGTATAATATAATAGAAGAGGTTGAAGGAAAATCATCAAGGTATGTGATCTCAACTTTGAATATGAAGAGCTTGAATTATCCCCTCTGTCCCCTTCCTCTTCCCACCACGGCCCCCCCAAAAAAAATAAATTAAATTAAATTAAAATAAAGAGGAAGAAAAGAAAAGAAACCCAAATTCGCTAACTAAGATTGCGTAGAATTTTGCGAATTACAAGGTCAATATATGAAGAGAACCGGGACGAGCCATTTGACGAAAATGAAAATTTCATTGATGATGATATAACTCTGTTGCCTCGAAAATGATAGCTGACGATAATGCGGCGACCTTGCAATTTCTGGATAGATCTCTACGGGACCACTTCCGTGCTGCTGCCGATGTGAGCGAAACATGTTTACGAACCAAGCCGTCCTTGGCTCATCTCACAATGTTTGAGACGTCTGTGAATGTCATCTGTGGCTGTTACAGTTTTACAGACAAATCCTCAAGAAATCATTTAAAAGGTTATGCCGTTAGGTTTTGGGCTGATCATTTTATGGATCTTGATCCCCTTTTTGCACCAGAGCCGGATGTTGTGCGAGTCGTTGAATCTCTATCTCTCATCCTGAACAATTCCAATAATGCGGCAAATGAGCTCGAATCAGGGCCAGTTTACCGCGATATTTTTGGGAAGACAGTGAAACGTCGAAATCGGTTTTTAAGATCTGTTTCACAATGGGTTAGTAGAGCATCACTGGAAGATATGAAGCTGAGTGATGGAGCAAAATTGTGGATGGAAAAGGCTGCCCAGTCTCCATTGAAGATAATGGTTCCGCTTGCTCGGGGCCATGTCATGAATTGGTTCCAGCAGGTGAATGAAGAGAACGAACCTTTTGATTTTAGTGCCGATGCACTCTTGATGGTAACTAAGCATCATGAAACTCCTAACTTCGCATTCTTCTGGCTTCTAACCGCTGGTATTTGCTCCCAGACGGATCTCTGCCCACCAATACCAGCCAAACATATCACCGATGCGAAATATATTAAAAGGTTTTCGGAGGTATTTTCAGACATACCAAAAGATGAAACTGCATATCGAGCTATTGGAATGACTTTGAAGGCTTATGGACACTACGATGAGGGAATTGCAGCTTGAAATGCCGCATTGGCAATATCTACATCCAAACTCGGCCGCTTTCGCACATTGGTTCTTCTTGCAAACATATATGAAGAATTATATGATGATGACTCAGACAACACCGATGATGATTCTTCTGACAACGAATCTCATGATGAGAAATCTGGAAAAAATCACCACCAATACAATTCCATGGCGTATAAAACGATATGTGAAGCCCTTGCCAATCAGCCTTCAGTGGATGATCCCACTTCGGAAAAGGAAACACTCCTCTTGATCCGAAAAGCGCTGCTAGTCCGGGGTGACTGCGAGAGCGAGATGGATAAGCTAAATGAGGCTGTGGAATCTTACGGGAAGGCAAGGGCCATTTGGCCAACTGAGATTTTAGATGGAAAATCCCTGAACGGAATAACCTCAATTCTTGGAGAACAAGAGAGATTCGCAGAGCTTATTGAGAATGTCGAACAATGGACATTTTGGGAACGGATGGCTTGGCTGACGTCTGAAGATGAAGATAATAGGCACGATACGTTTCGTCAAGCAGCGGCCAAGGTTGGAAAAGAAGATTTTTTAATCAAAACATATGAAGAAATAATAGCATATCTGGACCATTCGAAGTCATCCGCCACTATCCGCTGGGAACTTGCTTCTTTTTATCAGACGATAAAGGGTGACTTCGCAACGGCGAAACATCAATTCTATAAAATAATAGATGGAGATTCGTTCATCAGCCCGGCCACTGGTGATGAAGATTTATCAACCCTTTCCGAAACCCAACTGGACCTTACCGATATTATATACGAGGAGTTTCGGCGAGCAGATACCGTCGAGAACAAGATAGCATCCATGGATGAATTGAAAAAGCTACAAACGCGACGACGCAGGGCTGCTGTGGACGATGGAGACGTTTACGAAACCGCTGGTTCTATAGTGTTAGCCAATATGTTTCGCAAGATGGGTCCTGCCCATGAGTTCAAAAATGTATTGGAGAAAACATTCCAAAAGTGCATGTCATCATTAACTGATGATAGAGGCTGGAATGACCAAAACAGTATGTGCCTCCTTGCTAAGGTCCTAGCTTCTGTTGGTGGATTGGAAAGGGAGGCCCAGATTGCATTCTCAGCACAGTTCTACATTGTTGATCCAGCAGTGGAGCATTTTTGGTCAAACGATGAGGAGTCCGAATGGAGCACTGACAGCGAAGATGGGAGTTGTGAAAGCAACACTTCTTCCGATTCTGGATCCTGGCTCAGTGAGTCTGACACCAGCGCCGGCTCCTCGAAATCCGGCAAGAGAAGAAATAAAAATGAAGATTTCGCCCCCAACACCGACTATGTATGTAACGGAGAGTGTGAGGACGACGATATTGAGTCCTGGGATGATGGCGTAGTCTATCTTTGCATGATATGTTGCAATTGCGATCTATGCGAGGAATGTTATCAAAAACGCCAGGCACATAATAAGAATTCGACTGAGAATAATCACTGGCGGCGGTATTGTGGAGCGAATCATTGGTATATTAAGGGGCCAGTCGAAGGATGGAAGGGGATCAAGGATGGTTACATGACCATTGGAGAAGAGAAGATTAAGTTTTTAGATTGGTTGGAGGAGATTCGAACGACGAAGTGGAAGAAAGCGTGGGAGCAGTTTTGGATGAAAGAGGACGTCAGAGGGGATATTTTGGGATAATGATAATGGCTTTGGGACAAGGTTCGGAGACGGGAGGAAATAACGTCAGGCGCTTATTTCGCATATCTAATAGGACATCTACTTGAATAAGATTGTATGTGCATATGGCCTCTTCTTAGTATAACGCAGCGATAGAAATGAAATTATTTCGAGAAAGAACCAAAAACATTCCTAATGTCAATATTTGAACAGAGGTTAAGTCTTAAGTCAGGGATGTATGCATAAAATAAAAGATTGAATGAAAGCTTTTGGACAATACAGATAGTTAGGTACGAATACAGCTAATGAATATATACGCAGTGGAAAACAAAACAGGATACCTAATGAAGGCACCCAAGGCAACGATTTGGTGTAAACCAAAAGAAAATACAAAATGTGTATACATATTTCTAACAGATCTAGCTGGGTGATCAGATGAGCCATGAGGGCTGGACATATGTAGAACAAAGACTGGCTGTAAAATCGGAGAAGGCGGTTAGTCCCACGAGGATTATCTCGCCACCGCCCCGCATTTGATAGGGTGCAAAGGGAGTAAGTAAGGATAAAAACAATGGCCAGCAGCATTTGAATATATCAGCGGAAGCAAAACGGTCCAATTGTTAAATTGAATTAAATCTAAATCGAGAAAGTGTAAGAAAAAGCTTAAGCTTGACGAATGCCAGAGAAGACAGGACACCATTGCTAAATGGGACTCAAAGGTGGAAAAGAAAGTGGTTAAAAGGTGAGGAGCACCAAAAAAAAGAGAGGAAACATGAAAGAAGAGAGGAGAAAAAGGATTATTAAAAAGCAACTAATAATTGTAAAACGGAAAAGAACAAGTTAGCCGGTATATACACTGCTCCAAGACGGATATCTATTGTGCTTCTGCTTCTCCGCGTCGTAGTGCAAGAAGAGCACGAACATCAGTTACGTACTGTAACGCCTCTAGAATTGGGATGAGATGTAAGAGGTCGTTGTCTGTAGGGTCGTTGATCCAGCCCTCGATAGGAATGGCGTTATCTGAACAAACCAAGAAATTTTTTTTAGCAAACGGTCTGCTCATTGTATGCAGGTTGAAACGCATCTGCAGGATTCACTTCGTTTGTAGAAGATAATTTAAATGGCATCAGTTTACACATACCTTCATGAAAAATGTAGCTCATAGGACTGTTATCCAAAATCATCACCTTGCTCAGGTCCGGCTCTACAGAGCTGAGGTCTTTGATATAGGCGCCATTCCGTAATGTACAGTGTTGCCGATAGTATCGACGATGAAAGTATTTGCGTTCTTGCTCGAGCCAGTCAATAACTGGATCTGCGTATTCCTGGACGCTAGCGGTAAAAACAACCAGTTTGTACCATTTGCATACTTTACGGAGAAATTCGTCGCAATGTGGCCGTTTATGGACATAATAAAGGATGGGGTGCTGAGGTCCGATAGTAGTCGCCGATCCTTCGGGGGTTGAAGTCGTCACCGGTGTTGACATTTTACTTCTACCATGTGGCCGCTAGACATGCGTCACCCTTTGCCAAAAGAGTGGATAAGAGTTTCATCAAGGTCGAGTACAAGGGTTTTTTGAGCAGATGGTCCATACCTGGGGTTGCAGGGCGGAGTATACGAGGGCTGTCGCAGCGGTATGAGCGGTCGTGGTGGAGATGGGGCATGGGGGTATTTCGTGAGCTTATGGGAGGATGGAGACATCGGCGATTTCAAGGTTTCAGCCGCACGGCTCTCGGAATCTTGCCTCAATGTGTCTGTTTTTACTTTCTGATGTTTTCGCTTCGAATTGCTTTCAGTGTTGAGCTTTATACGTATTGATCGTCTGGGGGTCCCGTCGTCAGTGGAGGATGAATTGCGAGTTGATTTCGATCTTCGTGCTCCACCATTAGAATGTTTCGACCCATGACGATCAGGTTCAGACTCCGACGTATTGGAAGACATTGACTCTCGGGATGTAGAACTCCTTAGCCGCCTGATATTCCTCCCGCCCCCGCCAAGGGGCTTATCTGTAGCAGGGGAATCATTGCGTCCTGAGGCAGGGATATTAATGCTGTGTGCCGCTGTCATGGTCCTGTTTGGACCTCCGGTAAGCCGTCCCAGCCGCTTTACTGGCGTCAGAACAGAGTAGTGTCCGGCATCGTCCCTAAAAGCACGCGCAACATAGATACCTGGAGAGGCAAGCGCAGACAATATAACTTTCAGTGTTTCAGCAATGGCATCGAAGAGGCGTTGAGCAAGAAACTGCAGTTTACTTGTTGCGGGAAGAATGCCGCCAGTTTGTAAGTCCTGCAGGAGGGGAGATTTCTCGTCCACTGTGTCCGGCAAGTCTAATGAGCCGTCGTTTTCGTCGGTGTGATGGCGAATCTCTCCCAGGAGCTGGGCACTAACAGACTCCGCAATGTGCAGCTTTCCCTCGCTATAGGACCTGCCCGCAGCTAGGTCACCTCGAGGACTTCCGGGAAGTGCAGGGCCCTGTGAGCGGGAGCGAGGACGGGGATTGGAAGAGGATGGCTGTCTGATGACTCGGGATGAGATGATATTGAGTGAGTTCATGGCTTGTCTAAGGCCAATGCAACTTTATCTGGACGCAGTTGTCTGCTCTTGACAATCAGCACCAGGCATAGAGAGGTTCAGGGTAGGCGCATGGTGGACGCTTAATGACAACCATCATTAATTGAAACGGGACAGGGGTTTCGGCAGACCTCAATGCGCCAGATGGAAGCAGGTGACAGCCCCAGCCACTGCCACTGTTGACAGTTGACAGGTACTACTGGAGAGTATCCAGCAGCCAGGATGTCGTCAGGATACGATCAACCCCGTGGGAGGAACAAGAAGGGCGGGGTGTCGTTGGCACGGGCCAAAGGATAGAGAAGAGGGCAGCAAGTCGAATGCAACGCTATCACTGGCGTCCTTGTTGTGGTGGTTGCAGCTGTCGAGGCTCTTGTTGATGTTGGTGGAGGAGATGAGATGGTGCTGCGGCGGAGAACAACCAGAGATGGAGTTGGTGGGGAAGCAGAGCCGCCGCAACGAGGTCTCATTTGTTGGGCTGAACAACGCACGCCAACAAACAACGTGCAAGCACAGCTGTCCAGCGCGACGTCTCAACCGCCACAAGGCTTGGTTAAAAAAGCAAAACAGAGCCGGGGTCTCTTTTTCCCTAAGGGAGCATTGCATGATTCCGCCCGCTATTAAATCCGTTCCATGTGGGTGGACGCTTCTCAACAAAATCTACCCACTAGCCCTTCGATCACCACTTCTACCACCAACGAACGGGCTTATTCGCCTGCTCCACAATGAGCCTAACTCGAGAACAATTAGCCCATGTGTTTACTATTTACTTTGGAGTCACTTTGCAACTTTCTTATTCCCATTCACCACACTGAGAAGGTCCGTTTATTATCTTCCTTCTCGCCCACATTAATTTGGCAGAACACTAACGCTCTGCAATGCAGTAGTAGCCTTGACAACTGTCTTAATAGCTTAAGTTGTATTTCATGTGATGGATACATCCTAATCTCCTCCTTTTTCTACCATTTTACCAGTACGTTGTTTTTGATCGCGTTTTCTATGGACGCATTGATTTCCCATGCGTTTTCTCAAAAGCCTCTCGCCAGGAGGATCCTTTCGCTAGACTTAAGAGTGCAATGCCCGTACTGGAGAGGTCAACTATTGCGAGTCCAGTAAAACACCATCCAAAACCCTCCGCGCTGATGAGTGGATCAATCAGGGCCGCTCCAATCGCAGCGGCTGGGTTTCGCAGGAGTGAAGTCAATGCAACCAGAGTTGCCGCCTGCCCAGGCGCAACGAGCGTCACATAGGTGTTATTGGTCGAAAGCGTCCACGAGAATGCAAATCCACCTTAATTTTGTTAGCAAACGCAGCTGCTATCTAAAGGGACGATTTGGACAGACGAACAGATTGCCATTGAGATGATTACACCTGCGACACCAATACCGAAGTTTCCCAGCCATCCGTATAATAGAACTCCGATCGGAAATAGCGCCGTGCCGATAATTTGGATGTGGAGCCTTTGTTCGGGTGCAGCCTCATCTGCCTTTGTTTTTTCAAGATGCCTCTGGCGGGCCCAGTCACTCAAGTGTCCACAAATAACTGATCCGCATGTCATACCAAGCCCTATTGAGAAGAAAACATATCAGCGACTCCTATCTAAGTTTGTGGTCATGCGATATACCTGGTGCGAGAAAAGCAAGCCCTATTTCTGCATTATTAAAACCATATCGTTCCTGGAGGACACTTGGGAATGTCACTGAAAGACAATAATAGCTTCCAAAAAGGATGGAAACATTGATGCATGAGAGCATAATGATTGGATGCCTCATGAATATAGGTATGTTGCGTCTACTTGGTCGCTGGGTTGCAATTTCCCTAGGCGTGAGCTCGGCCCTTTTATTAAACGATGGCCACTGAAGCCAGGACTTTCCATCGTGAATGGAACCGTTTCCAACTCTGGACCTAAGGGTCTCTGGGAGCAGGAATAGGGAAACTAGGAGACAGACGCTACCGAAAATAGCTAACCGATTGATAATCTGTCAACGCCCTGGAACATTTGACCTGTGATGAAAAATTTGGACTCCGTCGTACTTACCTAGAAACCCAAAGGTCCATCGCCAAGTGGATCTCTGTGCTATCATTCCTCCGATTACCGGACCCAGTATTGGCCCTAACTGCGGACCAAGGCTATAATATGAAATGGCTCGACCACGCTGTTTCGGTTCAAAAATATCCACGACTGTGCCAGCCCCAAGGCTGTAAAGCGCAGACCCACCAAACGCCTGAACAACCCGCAATATCATGAAGGAAGCATAATGCGCTGGGGCGGATGCAAGAGCAATGTTTGCACCAATGCCAATTAATAGACCAAGAACGTACACCGGCTTTCGACCTCTTGCGTCTGAGAGGCTCGCGAAAAGTAAGGGCTACAGCCCATCAATTAGCTGTAGCCAGAGTGAGAATTGCCTTGGATTTTGTTTTGATATCCCTAGGGATATGGAAAGAAAAAACGCCTGATTGAATGTCAAAGCAGGGGGAAGGGGAGAGGACAAACCGCCACTGCAAAGGTGAGCATAAACACCGTAACCGTGAGATTTATCAGTGTTGGAGATACCTTCAGATCTTCCGTCAAGACGGGAAGCAGGGGCATATAAATACTCCCAGAAACCGGAGCGATGAAAGCCTTCGCAACAACTAGTGACAGAATGAACTTTTTTCTGGCGGCCGAAAACGCTGAGTACGGCTGTTGAGCTACTGGTGGACTTTCTGTTGTTCCATCTTTCTTCGCAGATATGCCCTCTTCTTCGTTGACATCTGCAGGAGACGACGCGGCCATTTTCCACCGGAGATACATGGAACTTTTGGAGGTGTGATTTGAAAGGAATGGTTTACTTCGTATGTTTCATTTAAAGAAGTCAAAATTGAAGAAAAAATGCGTGGTAAGCAAGGGCAGGAGGAGAGGAGGAATCCGAGAGTGCAGACCAACGATAGAGGCATACCACCGTTCTGTGGTAAGCAACTTCCAGCCAGTTAACAACCATAGTCTGGCTGGGCTTCAACTCTGAGGCTACCTATTTAGCCCTCATTATTTTATTTTATTTCTCAGTACTCCGGGATGACAAAATTGCATGATCAAAGAAAGCTCTTAATCCAAGCTGCACGGAAAAAAAATTTCAACTCTGAGTCCAAAACTCAAACTTGAAAATGGAACCGTTGCATCCTGTACGACAAAATCACGACTTCAAGGGTATTCCTTCAACTTGTGTGATATTATGATATTGTTTGACAAAGGGGCGTGATGCGAAAGGCATGCAGGTAGGACGACGGCCATCGATATAACATATGCATGTAGCCGTGGTTGTTGATCGATAACGGCATGTTCTTATTCCGAATCGATCTCCCAGATCTTTCCGAAGGGAGGGCTTTTTTAATGCTTCCTAACCCCAATAATATCTATGTTATATTATGCCTTCGTACACATTCCTATGATCAAGAAAATATTGTGGCTAAGTTCAGCAGTTCAGCAGTTCGGCCTATGTTTGTCTCAGACTGCAGAAATATGCAGAGATGAGTGAGGCCAATAAAGTGCCGTTGGTAAAATAACATATTGGTCTTGGCGTCTCAGCACTTGTGAAATACAATGAGCAAAAAGATGGAAACAAGTTGAATGAAAGTGACGCTTCTAATATTTATAATAAAGCGCCGTTGGATACTTCAAGCATTCCCATTCTTGGCTGTGGACTAATCATGGTACAAGTTTATGTGAGACAAAAGAGCTTCCGACATGTCACCATCAAACCGTGTCCTCCCGCCCCCGCATCCGAGCCTCCTGTATTATTTTCCTTGCATCTCGGCTTTTCAACCCGTCCGTAGGGAAAAAATTGTGGAAGGCGTCAGCCACAGACTTGAAAGGAGAGTTCAATTCATTTTGCTCTCCGTACTCGTTCTATCCTTGAACATATACCTACAACCGGTAGGCTTCAATAAACCCTGTGACGCAGGATTGGTTAATCGTGATATGATGTGGTGAAGCTGCCTCGCTAATTTCATAATTACTCACCCGGGCAAGCTTCATTTTAGATCCGGGATCCAAAACCCACTCCACGTTCCTCACCAACTCGAATAACGCAATCTTAATCTGCAGCAAGGCAAACCCCTGGCCAAGGCATTTCCGCGCATGTGCGTTGAACGGAATGTATGCTCCCCGGGCATTTTCTCTGCGGAACTTCGCTCGTATTGTGTCGACTGTGGTTCCCCATCTTTCAGGGACAAATTCCCTGGCATCGCCTCCCCAGATGGGTTTGTTGGTATGCGCACCGATTGCAGTCCAGCCAATCAGCGTGTTTGGTGATATGACGATTTCATCACCTAAAACGGCCCTTTCTGATGCTTTCCGGTTGATGATCTGTTGAAGTGGTGGGTAGAGACGTAGTAGCTCGAATACTATCGCGGCTAGGTAAGGCAGGCTGTCAACTATTTCCGGCGTTGGGTCGACAGACCCTGTATTCAAGACTTCTAATCGAAGTTTTTGTTGTATGTCCTACAGTGTTTCCCCTGTTATAGTTCATCCAGTTTAGGGAGTGAAGAAACGGTTTTAAATTGGGGAACTAACAGTTTTGACTCCCATTTCATAAAATGCCGAGTTGAGCAGATGCTGCACATCCTCGTGACCAGCCACAAATATAATTTTCACATTTGCGCGGAACTGGACCTCCGTGATTTTTCCGCAATCAAGGGCGTCTCGAAGATCGTCTATCACCTGTCGCTCGTATTGATTCATTGGGTCTTCTGGGGTTTCCCGTGGTCGAGGGACCCGAACAATCTCGTACAGCAGGTCCTCATATTCTTTCACGATTCGGAACGCGCGCTTTCGACTCCGGAAGATATGGGGGTATTTGTCAAGGATGGGAAAGCTGAAATACAAAGGTGAAAAAACATTGTCCCTAATGGCTGTCTGATACTTTGCCAGTCTTGTAGCTTTGTTGCATTCGAGGCGCTGTTGACAGTTGTTTGTTAGAATATTAAAGGGATTCATTTTTTCCTGGATTTCGAGATTCGACGTACTTGGAAATCTGTTTGAAAGAAGTGTTCTCCCACAACATAAATCGCATACATTTGTACTAACGACTCTAGATCGATGCCAAAATTTGCGGCCGCCGCCTGTTGAGACTGTAGGATGCCTCTAACCAATTGCCTTGACCTCCCCAGCAACTTGCTTGTGTCTGTGATGCGTCTTTGAATACCAGCTTTCATGATAGAGGTGTAGAGCTTCCATGTCTCCCCCTCAGCGCTAATTATGTTGTTCCCAAGGAAAGTTCCAATAACACTGAAAGGAATCCTTTTATTATTTCCCGCTTTCGGAAAGGCTTGCTCATTCCTGAGGAGGTCGTTGATATATTCCGGCTTCCCTAGAAGCACGGTCCATTGGGACGAGACCCAGAACTTGACAGCTCCATAATTTTCTAGTGGCTCCCGCAGCCAGAGGTCATATATCTTATCCTGGCCAAGGTCAACGAAATGTGCGATGCTGGATACGTAAAATGGAACTGTGGGGATATTTTTGGGCATGTGGGATGGGACGCGAAGGTACCACCAAGCGGTGATGGAAAATAGGGCTACAGCAGCTCCTACGCATGCAAGCAAAACCATGTCGCGAGAATGTTACCAATTTTCAGCATCGCTTTGCCGCAAGCGCAGTGTCCGGAACAGAAAAGTGAGGAACAGAAATGAAATCAGTTCGTTTCATCCACAATAGGGGTAGAAGAAATAGCACCGGAAGAGCTCCTCAGGTAGTATAAAATGACCGAATGCAAATCCGCGGAGGCGATTATAGAGTCTCCCTCATGAGGAATTATCATGCATCTGATGAGCATCTACAGCGAACCGATATCCCTGTAACAGTTGAAATGGTCAGTTGATAGAAACGGTCTGTATCACCATCGTTAAATGTTTCTTCGCTTCGAGCTTGCGCTTCTCTGGAATGCTCAGGGGAAGGCATGAATTGCCGTGCAAGCAATAGAATACCAGCCATGGCTCAGCCTCAAAATCAGGGCTCGGGTGGCACGATTGGAAAAAAACTTATGAGAACGATTCGTAGCCTGAAACTTAACATCCCATGCCTTCATTTATGCAACTACGACTGCTTGACTCTTGCACCACCCAGCCATACTCTAACTCTAATCTTGTTGCTATTTTGCTCTCCGCGGAATACTCAATGATTCTTCACTCCCGAATTTCTCAAGCTCGATATTTCCCCCTTTCATCAACAGACGCTTTTACTGTGCCACCTTAACCAGCCCTTGCGTTCCTTCCTGCCCAAAAGATTCACGGTGCAATCAGCTCTCACTAATGCAAAGAAGAAAAAGGTGATAAGTGATAGCAGTTAATGTGTGGCTATCTACGGGATCGTGCTGCTCTCAAAAGCCATGGGATGCATAATGTCGCTTGAATACTACATACGTTCATTTGCCGAAACTAGCACTTCTTCAAAAAGCAAACAGAAATTCGGCCGCGCCCATCTACACTAGAAAAATTAAGCATAAAATTTGCGTTCTATATATATATATATATATATATATATAAACTTACAAATTTTCAGAATGATCAGAACGAAATTAATCAAGATGAAATCGGCGAGAATGAGTCAATGTCACCCTTGTTCGCTGGATGTTAAGAACAACGGTCGTAGTCCAATCAGCGAGACCTATGTCCACTCCTTTTGTAGGGTAACTTACAACCCTAAATGTCCGGTCCTCTATAAGTTTTTGCAAATTACAAATCCGCATCATTCCATATATAAGAAGTTTTCTAGTTTTCTATTTCCAGTGGTTGCTGAAAGTTGACCGCATAATTGTTACATTCCGCTTCACAATCGTAGTGTTTATCTATGAGTCAGGAAGAAACTCTCGTTCGTTCGAATTGATGGGGCGTCATCTCAATCGCTTGGCTATAATTTCAACATGTTTCGCAGACGAAAATAATCGAACAAACCAAAAATTTCCCCAGCTGCGCAACACCATGTTACTGTTGAAAAATATCCAAGTTTTTAAATCTGATATCCAGAAATTGAAGAAAGGTTAGGCGGGATCTTGCAGATCGGCACTAAGTCCAAATAGGAATCTGCTGATTCCGTTCCATGGTTCGGTTAGGGCATAGTTTTAAGCTTGTTTGCACCTCAAGTTCAAGCTGACACTGCACATCAACTAAAATATTATCACCGTGGGAAAGAAGAAGTTGGTTATTATATTGCTTATTTATTATTTATTGATATTTTTGACAGCCTTTTGCATTGGTGCTGCTTCATTGGGCTATATACACAGAACCCCCTTCTCCTTCCCCCCCTTTTTTTAACTGTTGATGTAAACCGTTACAAACCAAAAAGGGTAATTTTCAGCGTCGTCTAATGACTGGCTTCAGTCCGTAGGCATGACAAGGGAAAACACGCTGACTTGGCGCAAGGGCTTTGGAGATTAAACTATATATATTATGAAAGGAACGGTTTGATGATTGAATACACTGCCAGGGATAGGTATCTTGCCAAGTGAAGATTAAACGTCTTCTCCCAACAACATAGAAGCTCTTATCATGCACCAGTGCTAGGGTCTCCTAATCCTCATCCTACTGCTCGCTAGATGAGGGATAGCCAGATAATGCAACTAATTTCGGGATATATACCGTGTGTTCCGGCTGCAACTTAAAGGGATCTTCCATTTCCAATTTGGAGATGATAACTTGGAGGCTTGGAAGATAAGCAGCTTCAATCAATATGACAATACCATAATTGAAAGTCATCATTTCTGGGGAAAATAAAATATAAGAGAGCTGCGGAAATCAGAACAACAAACTAATCCTCAGGGCAAGTAATTCCGGGAAACCTTCCAGAAGCATCGTAGTCACGGAAAAAAGAAAAACGTATAACTTATCTGAACAGGAATGAGCATTCTTGTTCACCGGTGGCTGGATTGATGTAACCAATTCAGCCGCAATGATGTATGTCATATATCATATAGTGTCTGCCTTGTCTGTTGTGCTAGTCTTAGTGAAGCAGAAGAGGCTGCTGCCGTCGGCTTTTGACTCGTATTTCGGTTGCAATTGATGGGGATAGCACATGGTGAGCGTTCGCAACGCATGGTGGATGGGAATGCCATTCTCGAGCATGGTTGAAGCGAAATCGGTGTCAGGTTGAAAAATTTTCACGATGATTAAAATTAGGCGCTCCCATAACCGTCTCAGAATAGCATTTTCTTTTAAAGCCAATGGCATTTTACCTTCCTTTTCCTTTGCCAACGGGAAATGGAGGGTGAAAATTCGAGATTCATAAGCTCTTCCAAAAGATACAGTTGAGGTTGCTGTAAGAGAGCTGCTCTTCGTAAGAAACCGGATTTTCATCTTTCCAGTGTAATAAGTAAGAGCCAAAAACAGTTCGGGGGGGCACAACAACTTCTACTATCACAAGAGGCCTTAAGTAGCTCTATGGTGTGTCAGAGAATCTCAACAGTCCAATGGAAAGTTGATATCATACTTCAGCCATGCCCGATGTTGTAATAACAGCCTCACATGTAAACAGTTCAGTCTTGCTATCTCCCAGGAGAAATAATCTGTTACCGACAATCGATGGTGCTAGGCGCTTCCACGACCTCCAGTTAAAGTAGAAAGATCGAGGTGGGCTATGCAAGATTTCGGAATAAGTGTTGCCAAAGTTGCACATGTTAACATACCAGGCACGAAAGTTGGGCTCTATACTTAGCGAGTCACGCGGTTTCAGACCGCGGATACCTGTTGACAACAGTTAGCTCTGAAAGTCCAAGCTGTAAACAGCAGTAGGGATCAGATTTCTGCATGCAGATATATATTGATGAATAGGGGAGACACAATTTGAATCCTTTATGAGCATTATTCGTTTGATAACTGAGAGTAAAAATTACCTACCCACAAGCCAATTGATTATAAAATGAATGGCATCATCCATCTGAAAATGCCGAGCGATGACATCAGCAATTGTACGTGCAAGGCTCAAGCCTGGGAAACGGATCTGGTCTCTATGATCAGAGAGACCTGCAACCCCTACCCTGACGAGCAGGGGCTGTTAAATGCCGGGAGGGAGAATGGATTGCACGGTTCCGGCCTACCCTTCACCGAACAAATAGTAAACGATGGAAACCATAGTATCATAGTTTATATTGAAAACGGGACAGACATCGTCGTTGGAAAAAGTTGTTCATCTGGAGACACCTCAGCAACTGGTGTGGACGAGAAAACAGGGGAAACAAAGGGATCACTCCTTTATGGCCCTAAAACATCCATGGAGGTCAGCAACGTCATCGTTTCCATCTTGGAGAGATATCGAATGGCACCAAAAGAGGATGTTCCCGCGCCATGGGAAGCCGAAAATAAAATCTCGAGTCTTGTTCGAGAGTACATAGAACTCGGAGAGGTCATACCGATGGTCCTTCCAGCGTTTCCGTTCAAGTCACCTAATAAAAAATTCAAGGTTCTCAGCCACCTTCCGGATAAAGGCGAGGAAGTTGCATTGGCACACCTGAACGGACTCTGCAAGCTTATCGAAAGCGAGTACACAAGGGGTGCGAGGATAGACATTGTTTCTGATGGATTGATGTATAATGGTAGGTAACTGGAGCGTCTATGTAAAATTCAAAATGCCGCTGACAACGGTACTAGATCTGCTAGGAATTTCCGATAAAGAAGTGTGGGCCTACGGTCAAGCCGTTAGAAAACTCGCTGTCGACACAGGCTGCAGCAACATAAACTTTGTTCGGCTTGTGCACCTGCTTGGGGAAGTCGAGATGGGCGAGCCATTGTCAGAAAAACAGTATTTGAAGGATGCTTCCTGGTTTCGGACGCAGCTTTATGAGAGGAATATCCCCGATAATTTCGATGTCTCCAAGCTTATATCGAATGACCCTGACACAACACTGACCTACCGCGGCTACATAAAATTTCTCGAAAAGGATCTCGATAACGACGCCAGCCCTGGCGATTCGTCAGTCTCAAAGCGGCAGATTAAAAAAAGTCACGAGGCAACCGCAAGAAACATGATCGCTCGGGGGCGGGCTTTCGCAATTGCTATAGCGAAAAGGTTTGATAAATCAATTAGATTATCGATTCATCCCTCCACAGAGTCAACAAAAGTATCCATAGCGATCACTCCACAAAATGACGGGATAATTATGACGCCATGGCATTCGTCTCTCGTTTATGCAGTAGATGGATCCATTCGTATGGTGCACGCAGGATCGGTGCCAGCATTAACACACGAACTAATTTTCGAAAACGGCCTCCCTGCGTATTCAGAGAGAAATCCCC